GTTAAACTCCATCTCTACCAAAAACACAAAAATTACCCAGATGTGGTGGCATGCAGGCTGAGGCAGAAGGACTGCTTGAACCTGGGAGGCAGAGGTTGCAGTGAGCCGAGATTGCACCATTGCACTCCAGCCTGGGCAATAGAGCAAGACTCCATCTCAACAACAATAACAAAAAAAGCACTTGGTCTGTAGTGAGCGCACTATACCTGGTGGCCACCATGAATACTGTTGTTGTTTTTGGTGGCTTGATGTGCCTGCACCCCAATTTTCCACACCCACAAGTCTCCTGCTAGAGGACTAGGTCAGAACCAAAAGGCCCTGCAGAAAATGGAAATCTCTTCCCGATCTCCCTCTAGTCTCCCTTTGGGGGTCCAATGTGTCCTTGGAGCTGCCCAGGGCAGGGTAGAGGCTGCATCTGTGACCCTGATGGGTTGCCCCAAGCCTGCTGACACTGGTCGTGCCAATCACAAGAAATTCTAAAAATCCACCTCCTTATCTCAGAGCGGGTGACACTCCCGAGCTTCAGGAATGCTGGTGGGGAGCCCCGCCCCCTCCCCCTTCCCCTCCTCCTCCGCTGGGGAAAGTCTGGAAGAGGACTGCTGAATTCTCCAGGCCCCAGCCCCCAAGTATCCCCCTCTAACTCTGGGACCCTCTCAGATCAACACATTCCAGGAGGATCAGGACCTGCAGACTCCAAGTCAGACACCCTCAAGCCCAGAGACGCCTATCTGGGCTCTCAACATCCCCCCCTACACCAGAATCCAAAGAGAATCTCACTACAGAGCCCTAGCATGTCCCTAAGGACTCCATGGGCACACCAATATTATTTCTGAATAATTTCAGGATCCTTTGAGAAGAAGGTCCATCTGCTATGGCAGAAAGAATACAAGATCTTGAATCCAGCATGTTGGGTCTCAGTTATGACCTTGAACAAATCCCTTCCTCATTCTGTGCCTCGGTTTCTCCATCTGTGAAACAGAATTGTTACCCTCTCTTACCTTGCCCTCCCTGTAGAACGGTTGAAAGAACCGAACCAGCTTCCCAATGTAAGGGACACTTTAGAATTTCTACAAGCACCTTCTTTTTCCTTCACGCAAATCACTGCTCCTCGGACTCAGTTTCTTCCCCTGCTAAACGGAAGGAAGATGTATGTGCCTGCCTCACTCCACTTCACAGTGCTGGGAGAGGAGCAGAATAGACAAGACTCTGCTCATCTGGCACTTTCTCCCTTTAAACTTAGAGGCCAGGGACTGACCAGACCTTATTCCCAAGGCAGCAAGAAGCAGGCTCCCAGCAAGCATGTGCTGAATGAATACCTGACTGTGGATGGATGGATGATGTTGCTTTAAGAAATTAAAAAGCCAGGTGGGTGGCTCACACCTGTAATCTCAGCACTTTGGGAGGCCAAGGCAGGCAGATCACCTGAGGTTAGGAGTTTGAGACCAGCCTGGCCAACGTGGTGAAACCCTGTCTCTACTAAAAATACAAAAATTAGCCCAGCATGGTGGTGTGTACCTATAATCCCAGCTACTTGGGAGGCTGAGGAGAGTCACTTGAACCCAGAAGACAGAGGTTGCGGTAAGCCGAGATCACGCCACTGCACTTCAGCCTGGGTGACAGAGCTCAAAAAAAAAAAAAAAACAAAAATGTGCCATCCACTAACAGAGCATCGCATCCTCTTTTTGTCCCAAAGGACACTGTCTCCAGCTTCCCCATCCTAGCCAGCTTAAAGAAAGGGTCTAAACCTCACTGAGGAGGCTGGGTGTGGGGGTGGTCATGCCAAGAGGGGGCATGGAAGGAAACTTCCAAACTTGAACACTTCTTGTGGTGAGAGAGGAAGTGGCGCTGCAGGAGGGACAAGGGGCTAAGGGGCTGGCAGGAGGGACAAGAGGCCAGGGGATGCCCCCCCGCACCCCGCCCATCCTGGCCTGCATCATGCCTGGTCTGTCTGGGGAAGGCCAGGACCTAGCCGAGCCTGGCGGCAGGAACAATGTCAGGCAGGTGCCGGCCGAGCTGCGGGAAAGGCCCAGCCCGGTGTCATTGTCAGAGCTCAGCCAAGTGCAGAAAAGCAATTTACTGGTCACGCCGCTTGCTCCCCACGGAAATTTTTAAAATTCTTCCAATTTGAGCTATCTACGGTGTCCTGAGTCGTGTGGAGAAGGGATGAAGGGATTTTATTAAATTCCCAGCTTCCTACTTCCTAGGGTGGCCAGCGGGTGAGGGCGGGGCTCACCACTTTGGGGGTGGGCAGGATGGTGTCTGGCATTGAATGTGATCATGGAAACGTAGCTGGGGGCAGGGACCCATTTTGAGCCTGGTAGCGATGGACAGGAGGAAAGGAGGGGCCCAGAAACTCCACTGCTGAGACTGGACCAGTCCTGGAAAACACTGAGGTGGGGGAGGGAAGGGTGTAGGCACATCCATTTCCCAGCAGGCACAGCGTGCCTTCCTGGGGGGATGAGAACTGGCAAAACTTCCCCACCCCTATCATATACCAGTTTAACTCCATGACCAACCATTTCACAAATGATGCAGCGAAGACTCTGGGGATCCACAGAGAGGGAAAGATGGAGCTGGAGCTGGGGTTCAGGCCTAGGCCACTGGATTGCAAAGCCCTGAGCCCTTCCCTCCATGCACAGAGGCTTCCCTGGGCCCTGCTCACCCTGAAGGAGCTTCAGTTGCTACCCGCTAAGTGCAGCCTACCCAAACCTCAGCAGGGAGCAGGCCTCAGATTCCTGGCAGTTAACGTCATGTGGCTCCCACCCCTCATTTCAACCATTAAGGCCACCCGACTTTTGTTCCTATAGTGTAAATGGGGACATAAGCCTGACAACCTTGCCCATAACTCCCAGGATAACATTTCTTTATCTTTAGGGGTCATAGATGTTTTGAAACTCTGTGGGGAGCAGACAACCCCTCTTCCAGACACAGCACATTTGAGCACCATTTTTGTGCGACGTTTCAGGGCCCTCCCCCTCCCACAATCCCATCCTTTGACACTCCAAGGGTACATGGACCATGGGTTAAAAACATCTGTCCTATGGCACTTTGGATGCAGAAAGGCCGGTGGGGACAAAGGGGCGAAGGAAGGGGGAAGGTGGAGGTGGTGGGGAGAGGAGGTTCCCTCACCTGCTCTAAGGCTGCCTCTTGACCTAACCAGGGCAGACCACCCAGCTCTTTCCCAAGATGCTGGCTCTAGCTCGGGCCAGGAGGTGGAGGTGGGATGCAGAGTCCACACTCCCTCCCTCCAGCTCCCCCGGAGAACACAAAGACCACACAGCAGCCCCTCCTGGGCCCCACTTCAAGAAGAACCAAGAGCAGCAGGCATCCAGAGGCTTGAGCCACACGTCTGCAGGCCTCCCTGCTACTCCATGCCCATTTCATCACTCCTGCCCCCAGGCTCAGAACTCTGGAAAAGAGCTCTTGCCCAGGTCAGACAAGCAGACCCCCTGGAGTGACCCCAGGGCCTGCCCTCTGCTTGGGGACTCAGCTGCAGACCAGGCAGGCCATGCCTGGCACTGGCCTCCCTCTTTGACACCAGCCGTTCCCCCCCCCCCCCCCCACCACCACACAGGGTCACATCTGCTTTGGCAAACAGCCAGTCTTAAGTTACTGACTCCAGTTATATTGATTCAAGGAGTCACTGGGGACCCCAGCCTGGCCAACAGGAGGAAAGAACCCATCAGTCTGTCCACCCTTCCGTCCCCAAGCCCTACTGGATGCCCCCAGCTCAGTGCCTATCAGGAAGGTACTCAGTGCCTCTCCTGGGTGTGGAGGGAGGATAACAGGCCCACCACCGCCAAACACTGCGAGAGGCTGCTGAGTCGCAGCAGTGCTCAAGGCACACAACACTCCTTGAGCCAGAAAACCGGGAGAACCACCAATTTCCTGTGCTTAAGACTTGCTCTGGGGATCTCCTGAATCCAGAAGGCTAAGGTCTAAGATTCTTCTCTAATCCCGGAAAGCCACCTGCCTTCCACCGAGGGGGAAGGGTCAGACAACCTTCTTTTGGCCTGTGTCCAGTTCCTCCTGGCCTGGCCCCTTGCAGCACTAGGTGGGTGGGGGCTTGGGGAGCTGACGCTTCCTATTCCCTTTGCCCGCCGCCCCCCCCCACCCCCAACATGCAGAGGCAGCCCTAGTCTGGTTCTAATCGGGGCTGAAGTCGGCTCCCTTTTTCGCTCTTCTCTCTCCCTCCCCCCAACCCTTTTTCCTTCATTTCTACGGCTTTGGAAGCCAGAGCGTTCCAACTGTCTGTGTGCCAAGACCTTCCCGAGTCTGAAAGCTGCTGAAGTAACAGATCAGATTTTAGCAAGTGCTTTCCAGGCTGAGCGCCAAGCCCTCTTCTGATTCACGGAGAGCGAGCGAACGGGGAGCAGGCGGGGAACCAAGGAGGGCTGCACCACCTTAGGCGAGGGAGTGCGGAGCGTGGCCCGTCCGGGAGCGGCCTCGCGGGCAACGGCCACTCGGCCTAGGCGCCCTCGAGGTTCCCCTTGTCCCGGGCGTGTGTGTGTCTGTATGTGTGTCTCAGTGCTGCAAGCGCCTTCAAAACCACAGAGTAATTTACAACTGAAGCTTTCTCCCTGGACTCGAAATCTACTCGGTTGAAAGCCTTTTTGTTTGGAAGCGGTGATGTTAAGGGAAGGTTGGCAGAGAAAATCCCCAGGTCCTACCCCTCGCTGACTGCGGGCAGGGGTCTTAGAGCCGGGTATATTGCTGCGGCTGAGCCCGCCGGGTCTGCGGGATCTCCTTCCTGCCGAGGCCGACAGGGGCCGCGACAGCCAGCGCCGCCTCGGGCCCCGCGGCAGAGCCCCTTGCCCTTGGCCGGTCCCCCGCCGGCGCAGGGCGCGCGCGGAGCCGCCCTTCCGCGCCCTGGGAACAGGTGCACTGGGCTCGGCGCCCATGAGGGGTGGGGCACAGGGAGGGGGCGCGGCCAGGGAAGAGGGGTCGGCCTGTACCGCGAGGCAGGGGCGGGAGGAGGTCAGAGTCAGGAGCCCACGTACCTGTACCTGGAAGCACAGCAGCAGGAAGTGTAAACACCTGCGGGAAACAGATGGAGAAGCGGTCAGTGGGACCTGAGGAGGGGGGCGCACGGACAGACAGACACGCAGTCGAACAGTCAAGCGAACGGACGGGCGGGTAGACAGAGGCACAGGGCACAGGCACACGGACAGACGGCCAGGCAGGGTGGGCAGCCCCGCGCGCGGGCGCTTACAGGCAAGTGCAGGCGGAGGGCGCTGAATACATCGCTGGGCGGGAGGGAGGCGGCGGCTCCTAGCCCAGCCTGCACATGTCCGCTCCGCGCGGCCGGGACCGGGCGCCTCCGCCGCCGCCGCCGCCGCCGCCGCCGCTGCTGCTGCTCCCTCCTCGCCGGCTGCTGCTGCTGCAGACTCTGCTGCTCCGGGGCGCTCCGCGGCGCGCCCTGCGGCATCAGCGCCCCGCGCGGCTCCTCCCGAGCGCTGCGCCCTCCGGGCTGGCGCAGGGGCTGCGGGGCGGCAGCCGCTGTGCAGGAGGCGCCTGGCCGGTGCGGGGAAGCTTGCTCACTGCTGGCCGGCAGCCGTCCGGGCGTCCGTGGGAGGTTGGCTTCCCGGCTCAGTTCGGGGACAGCATGCGCGGCGGGGCTGGAAGCCGGGTTGCACTCTCCGGCCCGGGCGCGGAGCTGCGTGAGGCCAGGGGTCAGCGCTCCGGGGTCGGGGCGCGCGGCTGCAGCACTAAAGCGTCACGGCCGCTCCGTCTGGGCGCCCGCCGGCTCATGTCTCCTCCTCCGCGTCTCTCCGGCCGTGCGCATCGCCGCCTCCCACCACTGGCGGCGGCCGGGGCGTTTTCTACGCGCGGGCGGCGAGGGGGCGGGGGGCCGGGGGCGGGCCCGGGCCAGAGCCGGCACAATGAGGATGCGGGGCCTGGGGGCTCCCCCCCTCGGGGCGCGGCCGGACGGGCGCTCAGCTCGCCTGGGTGCGCCCAGCCCACATCAAAGGCGGCCCTGCCTGCTCGCCTGCCTGCCGCGGCCTCTCGCTGCCTCCTCCTCCTCCTCCTGGCGGCTCGGGGTTGGAGGGGAGGCGCTCAGACTCGGCGAAGGAACCGGCAGCTCCGAAGCGGCAGGACCCACGAAACTGAAGCTGGTGAGCGCTGGAAGCCGTCGGAGCTCTGCGCCCGAACGCAGTGACCCGCTCCTCCGCGCAAACGTTGCCCAAATTGGGCAGGCGATGCTCCCCAAGAAAGCAGTTAGGTACGGAGCGTCCTCACCTGCCCACATTCGCTAGTCGCACTCACCAGCGCTCCAGTGGGGAGCCGAGAAGGGGCGGGTCAGACCCAGCCCCGGGGCGGCTCCACTGAATGGGGGTCGCTTTTACCCGCTCTGTGATCGTGGAGTTTCCCAGCCACCCTCTTGACTGGCAACACACTTAAGTGAGCCCCCTTTCTCTTCTTACGTCCCTGCCGCTGCGAAGGGGGCTCCAGGGCGTCTCTCCTTCCCACCCCTTGCCGCCTCCAGGGCTCTGGGGTCGGTTCACGGGATCCCAGCTGGGCTCTCCCGTAGGCGAGCCAGCTTTGGAAACACACGGCTACCACCAAGCGGCCCCGAGACGTCACTGCAACCCCAGCACGGACGGCTGCACGCCGGGGAGCAGCCAGGACTCTGGTCAGCGACCACGCTGAGGCCCTCTTCCGGCCTCCTCCCAAAACCGGGCTGAGACTTGCCTCCGTTTGCATACTATGCAGCTTCGTTCCTTTAACCAGGGTCCCATTCAGGACACTGATTCTCACCGCCTCCGCCCCTTCCAGAGGCATAAGTCCTGTCCTTCCCACCAACCCCAAAACGTAGATGTTCTTGTCACGCACCAGCCTCACTGTCTAGAGCCGGTGTCAGCCAAGCTCTGCTTAGGCCTGATGCTAAGGAAAATAGGTCAGTGAGAAAGACATTGGAGTACAGCCTCAACCAAAACTCAGGAATCTGGACTGTTTGGTTAAAGCCTCCCTGCGTTGGCAATGGTTGATGGTCCACTAGAGCATAAACTGAGGTAGGACTGTGGAACAGTGCTATATCCTGAAGCCATGAATATAAAACATTAGTAATTGTTCCAAATATCAGGCCTCCTTGCAAGCTATTTTAAGTTCCCTTTCAAAGCTGAGGCTATTTTAAACAGATAGCCTCTGTTTCAACACTGGACACAAGTGCAGAAAACCTTTTCAAAACCAGGTGCTGAGTGATGGCGAAAATTCCTGCATGAAGCTTTTGAGCTGAATTTACTTAGACATTCTGATTGCCAGAGCTGGACTTGCAAAGTTACTCGTAACTTCCCAAGTTCTGGAGAAAATGAACCGATCCCAAGATAGGATGCAATGACGAACCATAAATAGAAATGGACAGAAATTCTCCCACCGATGACCTGAGTCATTGCCACCATCTTTGATCTTGCTTTATAGGAAGATTGACAAACCCAGTCAAGAGGGGTTTTTGGCTTACCATCTGCTAGTTTGAAGTATCTCCTGGCTAAGAATCATGCTTCAAATTTTCTATACTGTTACTATTTTTTATTACTTGTGAATGGAATGGGTATATAATTATTTATACCCTATCTAAAATGCTTGCAGTATTTTTCAATGCTCAGATAAAGTATATTTGCCAATCTCACCTATCAAACAAATCAGACTGACCAAAAAGTCCAGCCAAGAGAACACTTCTGAGTAAGAGCATAAACTCAGGAGTCAGAGGTAGTGCATTTGAATACTGTCACCAACATTTACTTACAAATTCCAGCAAGCAACGGTTTGAGACTCTGCTTCCTCCTCTACAAAATATGGCTAAGAACAGTAACGACTCTCACAGAGTTATGAGTACTCAATGAGTGTCTGGCACACAATGAAAACTCCAAACATTTTAGCTAACTAATAATCCTAATTATGGTTTTCAGGTTATTTTCACATTTCTTTCTGAACAATTTTATCAAGTAGGGAGGCAAGATCACTTCCAATTTACAGTTGAAGAGGCATCTAGTCAGAAGGTCTTTTGACTCCAATCAATTTTATACTACACATTCTTTTCCCCACCACTCACACCCTCACGTCTGGTTTCATGTACCTATTTACCAATATGACCTATTTACCATATGCCTGAATCTTAAATGGGTTCTATCTGGATTTAGCATGTTCATACAACACTTAATGTATACCACTATTTTAGTAGTCACTTCTTACTAGTTCAATCACAATTTATTGAGATCCTACAGTGTCGGGCCCTCACTGAAAGGCAAGATCCCTGCACTAAAAAAGTACTCCGTCTCCACTAGGGAAGATGAGCCATAAGCAAATACACCAAGAGATAAATGCTGGCTTGTTACCAGTGCTTTGAGAGACACCAGTGGGATGAGATGAACAGTACAGGAGATACAGCAAGCCAGAAGACCTCTTGGTAACATTTAGGCCAAGACCCAAAGACAGGAAATAGCCATGCAAAGGAATATTCCAGGTAAAAAATGCAAAGTGCCTCCAGTGGAAAAAGGCTAGGCGACTGGCAGGGTTAGCCAGGGAGAGTATGGCAAGAGATGAGGGTGAAAGCAGGCAACGTTCCTGACCAGGCCTTCACAGGAAATGAAGTAGCCATCAATGGCTTAAGGGTACCAGTTTTGCCATGCATCGGTTTTAAGTGTATGGTTCAGTTCTGAGAAATGCATCTAGGTACAAACACCACCTCTTCTCAGGCAATCTTCCAGCCCCCAATTACTGGTCCCAAGCAATCATTTATCTGGCACTGGTTTATTTTCCATTTCACATAAACAGAACCACCTAGTATGTGCTTGTGTCTGGCTGAGCATGTTTGAGATTGGTCCGCTGTTGCATTTTGCAGTAGTCAATTCTTTTTCATCATGGGAGAGTATTTCATAGTATAGATATGCCACAATTTGTCAATTAAGGGCTTTGAAACTGAGTCAAAAATCAGTTTGTTAAACAAGCTTTACCCTGGCTAAGAATGAAGTGGAATGCTGTTATACCATCCCACTGCATTCTTAGTAGCTGGAGTAAGCAGGGCACTAAGAAAGCTAGCTGTTACCAGTCCAGGTAAGGGTACTGTAGCTTGGGCTATGCAGCCATGTGCTATTTTGGGGTCGGAATCAGACACATCTGCATTAAATTCACAGCTCTAAGTTAATAAACTCAGGCAATTTTCTGAGGGGAGTTAAGAATGTATGTTGACTGGTAACACAATGAAATGAAAGCCCTGCAGAGTATCTCGATGCCTTGCCTACTGACTAACCCTAAGCACCTAGAACTTTTGTCTAAGACAAAGTATGTATCTAAATCCCTTTGTTCAAGTGTGCAAGTAAACTGAGCACTGCAATCTTTCCACTTGTTTTCCACTTCTTCCCAGTCTTGACGGAGAAGACGCCTAGGATTCAGGGAATCTGTGGAGTACAAATATTGTGGAGACAGAGATGGAAAACATCTAGCCTAAGAACACAGGACAGGCCGGGCACGGTGGCTCAAGTCTGTAATCCCAGCGCTTTGGGAGGCTGAGGTGGGCGGATCATGAGGTCAGGAGTTTGACAGGAGCCTAACCCACACAATGAAACTGTGTCTCTACTAAAAATACAAAAATTAGTCGGGCGTGGTGGCACACACCTATAATCCCAGCTACTCAGGAGGCTGAGGCAGGAGAATCGCCTGAACCTGGGAGGTGGGGGTTGCACTGAGCTGAGATCCAGCCACTGCACTCCAGCCTGGGGGACAGAGCGAGACTCCGTCTCAAAAAAAAAAAAAAAAAGGACAAGCAGCCTCAAGCAGCACTGTCTTCAGTAGTATCAGATAATCAGCAAAGTAGACCCTTAGCACAAATAGGCTGTAAAGTTTTCTCAAAGCCAGCTCCTAGAACACGCACAGCATTAAATCTTGGGACCTCTACTGCCAAGTCCACGAGTCAGGGAGCAACTGGCTTTTCATTAAGGAACTGGCTAAAAAGTAGCCTCACTTTCTTAAACTTTAACCCTGTATTTCCAGAGTCCAGGCCACCTTTATAATAGGCTCAGTACAAACTTGTAACCCTCAACTTCTTTTTTCTTGGACAATTTCCAAGAAAAGACTCACACCCTATACAATGCTCATCTCTCCTTGCTCATTAAGCTAGTACTATCAAGAGCTACATAGCGGGTCGTAATCCCAGACCTTTGGGAAGCTGAGGCGAATGGATCACTTGACGTCAGGAGTTTGAGATCATCCCGGCCAATATGGTGAAACCATCTCTATACAAAATACAAAAATTTGCCGAGTGTGGTGGCGTGCGCCTGTAGTCCCAGCTACTCGGGAGGCTGAGGTGAGAGAATCACTGGAACCCGGGAGGCGGAGGCTGCAGTGAGTCAAGATCACACCACTGCACTCCAGCCTGGGCAAGAGACTGAGACCCTGTCAAAAAAAAAAAGAAAAAAAAAAACGATTTTATCTGTTAAGAAAAAAAGAAAAAAAGCTGGCTGGGCGCTGTGGCTCACACCTGTAATCCCAGAATTTTGGGAAGCCAAGGCGGGCAGATTACCTGAGGTCAGGAGTTCGAGACCAGCCTGGCCAACATGGTGAGATGCTGTCTCTATTAAAAATATAAAAATTAGCTAGGCATGGTGGCATGTTGCCTGTAATTCCAGCTACTTGGGAGGCTGAGGCAGAAGGTTACTCACTGTAACCCAAGAGGCAGAAGTTATAGAGACAAAACTGCACCACTGCACTCCAGCCTGGGCAACAGAGCAAGACTCTCTCTCAAAAAACAGAACAAAAATAAAAGCTACTTAACGATGGTTTGGTTAACAACAGACCACCTGTATGGTGGACCCAGACTAAAAGGGAGCTGACCATTGTAGCAGATGCATTACTCGTGTTCATGATGCTGGTGCAAAGAAACCTGTACATGCAATTATGTACAGCACATACTTGATACTATGAAAATAAATGTTACTGATTTACATATTTATTGCATTTTATCAGTGTTATCCTTAACCAAAAAAAAAAAAAAGGGCCTCAGGCAGTATTCCAGATGGCAATGTTATAGATGACAGCATCGTCTTATTGCCCCTGAAGACCTTCCAGTGGGACAATGTACGGTGGATGAGTGACTTGATGATGATCCTGACCCTATGGTAGGCCTAGGCTAATAACCCTATGGTAAGCCTACGTCTAGTTAACAAAAAAGTTGAAAAAAACTTAATAGAAATGTACAGAGTAAGAAGGTATTTTTGAGGCCGGGCACAGTGGCTCACGCCTGTAATCCCAGCACTACCCAGTGGGTAGATCACATGAGGTCAGGAGTTCGAGACCAGCCTGGCCAACATGGTGAAACCCTTCCAAAAATACCAAAAAAAAAAAAAAAAAAGAAAAGAAAAAAATTAGCCAGGCATGATGGCAGGTGCCTGTAATCCCAGCTACTTGGGAGGCTGAGGCGGGAGAATTGCTTGAACCCAGGAGGCGGAGGTTGCAGTGAACCAAGATCACACCATTGCACTCCAGCCTGGGCAACATAAATGTGTTTTTGTAGTTTTTTAAGTATTATGAGTCAAAGTTTTTAAAGTTTATGAAGTTCAGTAAGATAAGATTAATGAAGAAAAACATTTTTATATTTAACATTTAAGTATACCATGTTTATAGTTTACAGTAATGTCCCAGGCTTTTCATTCTCACTCAGCAACTTCCCCTTCTGCAAGCTGTATTCATTCCAGTGCCCTATATAGGTATGCCATTTTATCTTTATTTTTACCATACCTCTGTTAGAGACACAAATACTATTGATACAAGTGCCTATAGTATTCAGTTCACCTATACTGCATAATAGGTTTATAGCATTGGAGGCATGGGTTGTACCTTAAAGCTTAGATGTATGGTAGGCTATACCACCTAAATTCACGGAAGTAGACTCTGATGTTCACACGACGAAATCACCTAATGGTGCCTCTCTCAGCACGTATCCCCATCATTCATTAAGTGACCCATGACTACATATTAAGTCAAAACCATGTATTTTCTGCATTGGTACACCTATTATTCTGTATTTGCGTGTTTTTAAGCTCATCTGCTTTCCCTGCATGGCCTTTTTACTACTGTAACCTATTCTACCTGTTCTCTGGTTGAGACTGAAGGTAGCTCTGTAGTTACATTGACTGTTGACTTATGAAAAGCTTGTCAGCCAACCTGTGCACACATGCCCTCCTCAGTACTTAAAATTGTTCATTCCCTTGTTTTTCCAAAGGGTCTGGTCTGATCTAATCAACCGACTACCCTAAACCCAGTATTAACAAGCAATGTTCCCACCCAGACAGTGGTCTACAAATACCATTATTTCTAAAGGAGGCAGGGTTCTTTGGGGGAAATGGCCACTCCAGGTCTGAGGAAGAAAATGAGCAAGATGAAATACCCTGTCACAGAAGAAGTCAAACAGTGATCAGATTACTGAGATCTACTATGACAGGAGCAAGCCTGAAGGGGATTCCCTTGGTCAAAAATAAAATATCAGCATCAAAAAAATACAGTGGGTTGAGATATATACAAATAAATAAAAACCTGAATTAAGGTTACACTCACTGATTCCTTTTCACAAGCTGCTAGGTATCAATCCATCATTCTAAAAATTATCAAAAAAGAAAAAATCACATTAAAATGATTTCCAGCACAGAACGAAAGCCTGTCTGGGCACACTGGCTCACGCCCGATGCCAGCACTTTGGGAGGCCGAGGCAGGCAGATCACTTGAGGTCAGGAGTTCGAGACCAGACTGGCCAACATGGTGAAACCCTATCTCTACTAACAAAATTATATACACACACACTATATATTTATATTTTAGTATATTTATATACTATATATATTTACATATTTGTTTTTATGTGCATATACAAACTTAGCCAGATGTGGTAGCACGCACTTGTAATCCCAACTATTTGGGAGGCTGAGATGGGAGACTGCAGTGAGCTGAGATTGCACCACTACACTCCAGCCTACGGGACAAAACGAGAATAGATCTCAAAACAAGAAAGGAAAAAAATTCAAGACCACTTCAAAATGTTGGAATAAATAAAATGTTGAGTGATGTTTTTTAGATTTCAGATACACACCCAAAGCAGCAAGCAGTTGGTATATTAAAATCAACACAAAAATTTGAAAGACAAAATAAGTCTCTTTCCCGAGTTTAAACAAAAAGGAATGAGAAAAACCATCCAAGACAATCAAACAAGTCTAAGAATGGATAGAAGTGGGAGATGAAAATCTCCCAAGGAAAACGGCACAGAACTGGAGAACATTCCCTCATCTGCTCAAACTACTGGAGTATACACCACAGCAAAACAATAGAAATGAAATCAGTATATCCAACTCAGATCATGTATAATCAGCTTAAGGTAGAACATATAAAGGTGCTAATTAGTCCCCGAATATCCTCATATTTATGTGATAATTTTTCTCCTATACATCTGTAAGAAGTACTATTAGGCAACTTCAGCAAATAGTCACTGAAATAATTGCTTTGATTCAGACAAGGAATCCAGGTTGAGGTCAGGTGCGGTTGCTCACACCTATAATCCTAGCAGTTTAGGAAGCTGAGGTGGGCAGATCACTTGAGGTCAGGAGTTCAAGACCAGCCTGGCCAACATGGTGAAACCCCATCTCTACTAAAAACACAAAAATTAGCCGGGCTGGTGGTTCACACCTGTAATCCCAGCTACCTGGGAGGCTGAGGCAGGAGACTTGCTTGAACCCAAGAAGTGGAAGCTGCAGTGAGCTGAGACTGTGCCACTGCACTCCAGCCTAGGGGAAAAAAAACAAGAATACAGGTTGAAAGGCTGCTTTTAAGCTGTTTTAACATGTCAGATTTTCTTTGTGAGTGAGGCTAGAATAGGCGGATAGGAGGGTCTAATGGAACATTTGGAAACATGTTGCATAGTTATAATCATTGTTAACTATCATCAGGAGGTGGGAACACAGCACTAAATCCTTATGATGAAAAAGTGGTTAGCTCCAGTGAACTATTGAAGGGAAGGGGCAGGGACATTCTCAAAGAATTTTAGAATACTATTTGCCATTCCTACCTACGTAAATTATTTGACAAAGTATAAAGCAGTTAAATAAGTCAATAGAAACCGTGCTACTTTATTAAAATACTGAGTTTTATTTCACATGTATATTTTTGTCTCCCCACCATTTCCATGTCTGACCACCGCTACTACTATGTCCTATCATAACATTCCATACATACTTAAAACCAAGCAAAGGGTGGAGTTCCATCTTTAAAAACTAAACAGGCATTTTGGACAACACATTCTTGGCAATGGAACCTGGACAACATTTATCAAACACGGTAGGGAAAGTTCTCACTCTGCATTATAAAAAGGACAGCCAGATATCAACTGTTACAGAAATGAAATAAGACGGAAAATTTTTAACAAATTGTTTAAACTATTTTCTTAAAGAGACTTCCTCCACTGCCAGAGATCTTGAATAGCCTGGAAAAAAAAAAAAAAAAAAAGAAATGTGGTTAAGGAACCACAACACTTCACAGACATCAATAAATTAAATGTCTCTTTGCATAGTTCAACATCTATTTTTCATTCTACCACCAAATAGGTTAACTCTAGATAAAGAA